CCCTCCCCAAGGGAGAACGGATAGCTCGGGGGTCCTGAAATTTACAATTTAAATAAAGCCCCTGATGATCTTTTCATCCATGTAGAGAAAATGACTGTAATACATCCATGTAGAGAAAATGACTGTAATACATCTGAGTCCGGAGAAGAAGATTTTTGAAATATTGGTTAATTTTCACTTTGGGGCCCCGCCCTGGCCCCTAGGGTTGGGGTAGTAATTCCAATTTTACAATTTAAAACCATCTTCCTTCAAGGATAATTCTCACCAAGTAAGAATAATTTCCAACAGAAAATTGTCAAAATATACCCAAAAGTGTTGTTTCCCTATATAAACTATAGTAAACTTTACCCCTCCCCAAGGGAGAACGGATAGCTCGGGGGTCCTGAAATTTACAATTTAAATAAAGCCCCGGATAATCTTTCCATCCATGCAGAGAAAATGACTGTAATACCTCTGAGTCTGGAGAAGAGGTTTTTGAAATATTGGCAAATTTTCCCTTTTGGGCCCCGCTCTGGCCCCTAGGGTTGAGGTAGGAATCCCAATTTTACATTTTGGTAGCCTCATCTACCAAGGATGATTTTGACTAAGTTTGAAAAAATTCCATCCACTGGTTCTTGAGAAGAAGTTGATAATGTAAAAAGTTTACTCATGACGCACGACGGACGGAAAGGATTGGAATAGGTCACTTGAGCAAAGCTTAGGTGACCTAAAAATTTATATTTATGAATCAAAAGGGAAAAACTACAAGTGATAAATACCTGTTCACTTATTACCAAAAATACAAAAAACTTCACTGTATATGACATTCATATAGATGGAAAGACAAAATGCTGTCAGAGACACAATAAATGATTTATCACAGAATTCAACACCAAAGTGAAATAACACTGTTCTATTCCATACAAGTGTCTTTTATGCTGACTGGTATCTTGTTTGTCAGTACATTTCAGCCCCTATCTGCAGTCTTACACAATGTGGTTATAGTATAACCTACCTGACAGTCTCACACAATGTGGTTATAGTATACCCTACCTGACAGTCGCACACAATGTGGTTATAGTATACCCTCCCTGACAGTCTCACACGATGTGGTTATAGTATACCCTACCAGACAGTCTCACACAATGTGATTATAGTATACCCTACCTGACAGTCTCACACAATGGGGTTATAGTATACCCTACCTGACAGCTGTCTCACACAATGTGGTTATAGTATACCCTACCTGACAGTCTCACACAATGTGATTATAGTATGTTATAGTATAGCCTACCTGACAGTCTCACACAATGTTGTTATAGTGTAGCCTACCTGACAGTCTCACACAATGTGATTATAGTATGTTATAGTATAGCCTACCTGACAGTCTCACACAATGTTGTTATAGTGTAGCCTACCTGACAGTCTCACACAATGTGATTATAGTATACCCTCCCTGACAGTCTCACACAATGTGATTATAGTATAGCCTACCTGACAGTCTCACACAATGTGGTTATAGGGTAGCCTACCTGACAGTCTCACACAATGTGATTATAGTATCCCCTACCTGACAGTCTCACACAATGTGATTATAGTATGTTATAGTATAGCCTACCTGACAGTCTCACACAATGTTGTTATAGTGTAGCCTACCTGACAGTCTCACACAATGTGGTTATAGGGTAGCCTACCTGACAGTCTCACACAATGTGATTATAGTATGTTATAGTATAGCCTACCTGACAGTCTCACACAATGTTGTTATAGTGTAGCCTACCTGACAGTCTCACACAATGTGATTATAGTATACCCTCCCTGACAGTCTCACACAATGTGGTTATAGTAAACCCTGCCTGACAGTCTCACACAATGTGGTTATAGTATAGCCTACCTGACAGTCTCACACAATGTTGTTATAGTGTAGCCTACCTGACAGTCTCACACAATGTGATTATAGTATACCCTCCCTGACAGTCTCACACAATGTGATTATAGTATAGCCTACCTGACAGTCTCACACAATGTGGTTATAGGGTAGCCTACCTGACAGTCTCACACAATGTGATTATAGTATCCCCTACCTGACAGTCTCACACAATGTGGTTATATTATACCCTCCCTGACAGCTGTCTCACACCATGTGGTTATAGTATACCCTACCTGACAGTCTCACACGATGTGGTTATAGTATCCCCTACCAGACAGTCTCACACAATGTGATTATAGTATACCCTACCTGACAGTCTCACACAATGTGATTATAGTATGTTATAGTATAGCCTACCTGACAGTCTCACACAATGTGATTATAGTATAGCCTACCTGACAGTCTCACACAATGTTGTTATAGTGTAGCCTACCTGACAGTCTCACACAATGTGATTATAGTATCCCCTACCTGACAGTCTCACACAATGTGATTATAGTATGTTATAGTATAGCCTACCTGACAGTCTCACACAATGTGGTTATAGTGTAGCCTACCTGACAGTCTCACACAATGTGATTATAGTATATTGCAATGGTTGAGCATTCATTGTCGACCTATTACAGTGGTTAAATGTCTATTTCAATGATTTAACAGCTTGAATGTTGACATGCAGTCCATGAGCCAGCTGACTGGTGAAGAACACATTCTGCTGTTTTTTATCTTTGGGAAAGTCACAGAATTGTCATGTAGCACAAAAACACAACACTGGGTGCAGCCACTATCAGCATGGTATGGCACTGTCAAAGTTGACTCATCCAAACTGCCTACTTTGGGCTCCCTTTTCAGGATGAGACCTCCACCAGCTTTGACAAGATCTATCAGTTCGGTCTTCTCTGGTGTGGGATATTCAAATTTACCATGAAAGTAAAACTGACACCCATCAAATAGACCAGGGAGCTGTAAATATAAACAAAAATTAATTGACTCATACTTTATTTCTAAATTGTGAGCATAAGTATTCAATACAAGAGGCCCATGGGCCTTAACAGTCACCCGAGTTATGTAAAAACTGATGTTATTGATGTTGCCAAATGAAAAAGAAATCATTTTGTAACAAAGGTAACTTGAACTACATGTAATGCAAAAGTAGTGTGAAAGATCTGGGTAGTATACGTACTATGTACCAATAGTGGTTCTGTCAGTCAGCTGAATTTTGGTAAAGCACCTTAAGACCCTTCCATCTATGAAGAGCATTTGATTCTACCATATCTGGATCTTGAGAAGAAGATTTTTGAAATTTTAGTCAATTTGACCCTTTTTGGCCCTGCCCCTCAGGCCCCTGGGAGCTGGAGACCATATAATTCACAATTAAACTATAGTTAAGTTTATACCCTCCCCAGGGGGAAACGTGAGACCCCAGGGTCATGAAATTCACAATTTTGGTCAAGCACCTTAAGACCCTTCCATCTATGAAGAGTATTTGATTCTACCATATTTGGGTATTGAGAAGAATATTTTTGAAATTTTAGTCAATTTGACCCTTTTTGGCCCCGCCCCTCAGGCCCCTGGGAGCTGAAGACCATATAATTCACAATTAAACTATAGTAAAGTTTATACCCTCCCCAGGGGGAAACGTGAGACCCCAGGGTCAAGAAATTCACAATTTTGGTAAAGCACCTTAAGACCCTTCCATCTATGAAGAGTATTTGATTCTACCATATTTGGGTCTTGAGAAGAATATCTTTGAAATTTTAGTCAATTTGACCCTTTTTGGCCCTGCCCCTCAGGCCCCTGGGAGCTGAAGACCATATAATTCACAATTAAACTATAGTAAAGTTTATTCCCTACCCAGGGGGAAACGTGAGACCCCAGGGTCATGAAATTCACAATTTTGGTAAAGCACCTTAAGACCCTTCCATCTATGAAGAGTATTTGATTCTACCATATTTGGGTCTTGAGAAGAATATTTTTGAAATTTCAGTCAATTCAACCCTTTTTTGCCCCACCCATCAGCCCCTAGGGATCAGTCAGGGCTGATTTGTGCATATCATCAAACTGCTATCCAAAACTGATAATGCTAACCAAGTTTGAATTTATTCCAATGGAAATTAAACAAATGCTGGTCCAAAATGTGATTTTCCTATATAAACTATAGTAAAGTTTACCCCCTCCCCAGGAGGAAACATGAGACCCCAGGGTCATGAAATTCACAATTTTGGTTAAGCACCTAAGACCCTTCCATCTATGAAGAGTATTTGATTCTACCATATCTGGATCTTGAGAAGAAGATTTTTGAAATTTCAGTCAATTTGACCCTTTTTGGCCCCGCCCCTCAGATTCTTGAGGGCTTGGGACCTTATAATTCACAATTTTGGTTGACCTTTGGCCATGGAAGGTTTCTGCAAAATTTCATTGAAATTAGTTCAGGGGTTTTGGAGAAGAAGTCGTAAATGTAAATTGTTTACGGCCGGACTCCGGACAAAAGACGATTTCAATAGGTCACTTGAAACTTTGTCTCAGGTGACCTAATAAGCAGTTAAAATACCTGAATTCAATATCATTTGTAAGCATACTCGTATAAAAACTTCCTTAAATATTCCTGTTTGTAATGAAACCCAAGTGGGGACACATAAACCTAGCTGAAGCCTGTAGTATGTGCTGCTGTAACCCCGATGTGGGCATTTGAAACCTAGCTGAAGATTGGTTTTTGTGTTTATACTGTAATCCTGGTGTGGGCACATACCCCTAGTTGAAACCTATAGGTTGCTGTTTGTGTCATAAACCGGGTAGGGACAGTTAAACCTACCTACAACCTATTTAACCTGCCTCTTTGTGGGGCTAGCGTATTTGGATTTGTGCTGGTTCCAGTACTGTTTGTGCAGTAACCCAGGTGGGGACAGTTAGACCTACCTGTAGCCTACTGTTTGTACTGTAACCCGGGTGGGGACAGTTAAACCTACCTGTAGCCTGCTGTTTGTGTTATAACCCGGGTGGCAATAGTTAAACCTACCTGTAGCCTGCTGTTTGTGTTATAACCCGGGTGGCGATAGTTCCACCTACCTGTAGCCTGCAGTTTGTACTGTAACCCAGTTGGGGACAGTTAGACCTACCTGTAGCCTGCTGTTTGTACTGTAACCTAGGTGGGGACAGTTAGACCTACCTGTAGCTTACTGTTTGTACTATAACCCGGGTGGGGACAGATAGACCTACCAGTAGCCTGCTGTTTGTACCGTAACCCGGATGGGGACAGTTAAACCTACCTGTAGCCTGCTATTTGTCCTGCCTCTTTGTGGGGCCAGTGTATTTGGATTTGTGCTTGTTCCAGGAACCTCAAACGCCTCCTCACTGACACGGCTGCCGTACTCCAGACAGGTGTTCACCCCTACAATGGTGAGGTAAGTAGATGTAATGAGCATTGAAAGCAAGAACGGCAATGGAATATGTCTAAACAAAACTTTACATTATCTAATAACGTTTTAAGCAAGCCCCTGAATAAGGTGAAAATTTCTATTACCAGACCCTGAATAATAAATAAATACTAAACCAGAGCCTAAATAATCTGCACCACTAACTAAGCTTTAAGATTAAAATTCCTATTTAAAAGAATCAGCCTATACTTAAAGGTACTATTGTCCTGTTGTAGAGTAACTTCCATGTAATGTTCCACATCTTATAACAAACCCCATCTGGCCTAATATTTACATGATTCATTGCAGTTTGATATTTATGAAACAATTCCTTGTCACAATGGCTTTATGGGGAAGGGATAGAATCAATCTGATTAATACTTCACATTCAAGGTTTAAGGATTCAAAGTGGAGAGATTTACTGATGTGAGTTGATTGAAAGCAGTTGACTTGTGAGTCTCAAGTAATTTTTCTTAATTAGTACAAGTAAAATTCCAGTTCCAGTTTGTTGGTTGTGCAATGGGGAGTGTGAGATTCTGTTAGTCACAGTAGAGATAAAAGGCTTACCATATACTCTGGATGGTTAAATACTTAGCCTGGAATAACATATAATGTGGCCTTGATACTCACAGTCCATATTGAGGACCCACTTGCCCTGAAGCACTGCCATCAGGTATTTAATGGTACGAGGACACTGGCCGTCCTGGTTACTACTGGTGATAACATGGGTAACTGTAACACAAAAAGATTAACTACATGTGAGTCACACCTTAGAAAATGATTTTATCAAATCTCTACAATATAAATCGACAGGTCTGTCAACATGTACTAAATGAAAGGGGAAAGTCTGTTTTCTCTAGATACTACCGTTTCATATTATTGGCACCCTGCCTCTGACAAGGCGTTGCTAAATATCATTCTGGTTCACAAGGCTTAGCAATAACATGTTAATTTTTTAAACCTTTACATTATCTAAAAAAATAGAATTTCTGATTGGCTATAAGAACCAAAGAAAAACTTCATCTACTGATGTCTCACCTTCAGGACAAAAGTCTTGTACCACCTTGGCGTTGAGCAGTGCTGCACACCTCTGGAGGGCAATCTTCTGATCTCTGTTGAGGGCCGTCCCCAGCAAACATGGCAACTGGTACTCCAATACATCAACCGTCTACAATAATCACAACACAGTTAACAGGTCAAAGGAAACATGGCAACTGGTACTCCAGTACATCAACCGTCTACAATAATCATAGCGAGGTCACAACACGGTAAACAGGTCAAAGGAAACATGGCAACTGGTACTCCAATACATCAACCGTCTACAATAATCACAGTGAGGTCACAACACAGTTAACAGGTCAAAGGAAACATGGCAACTTGTACTCCAATACATCAACCGTCTACAACAATCACAGCGAGGTAACAACAACAGGTCAAAGGAAACATGGCAGCTGGTACTCAATACATCAACCGTCTACGATAATCACAGCGAGGTCACAACACGGTAAACAGGTCAAAGGAAACATGCCAACTGGTACTCCAATACATCAACCGTCTATAATAATCACAGCGAGGTCACAACACCGTTAACAAGTCAAAGGAAACATGGCAACTGGTACTCCAATACATCAACCATCTACAATAATCACAGTGAGGTCACAACACGGTTAACAGGTCAAAGGAAACATGGCAACTGGTACTTCAATACATCAACTGTCTACAATAATCACTGTGAGGTCACAACACGGTTAACAGGTCAAAGGAAACATGGCAACTGGTACTCCAATACATCAACCGTCTACAATAATCACAGCGTGGTCACAACACAGTTAACAGGTCAATGGAAACATGGCAACTGGTACTCCAATACATCAACCGTCTACAATAATCAGAGTGAGGTCACAACACAGTTAACAGGTCAAAGGAAACATGACAACTGGTACTCCAATACATAAACCGTCTACAATAATCACAGTGAGGTCACGACACGGTTAACAGGTCAAAGGAAACATGGCAACTGGTACTCCAAGACATCAACCGTCTACAATAATCACAGCGAGGTTACAACACAGTTAACAGGTCAAAGGAAACATGACAACTGGTCCTCCAATACATAAACCGTCTACAATAATCACAGCGAGGCCACAACACAGTTAACAGGTCAAAGGAAACATGCCAACTGGTACTCCAATACATAAACCGTCTACAATAATCACAGTGAGGTCACAACACAGTTAACAGGTCAATGGAAACATGACAACTGGTACTCAATACATCAACCGTCTACAATAATCACAGCGAGGTCACAACACGGTTAACAGATCAAAGAAAACATGGCAACTGGTACTCCAATACATCAACCGTCTACAATAATCACAGGGAGGTCACAACACAGTTAACAGGTCAAAGGAAACATGGCAGCTGGTACTCCAATACATCAACCGTCTACAATAATCACAGCGAGGTTACAACACAGTTAACAGGTCAAAGGAAACACGGCAGCTGGTACGCCAATACATCAACCGTCTACAATACTCACAGCGAGGTCACAACACGGTTTACAGGTCAAAGGAAACATGGCAACTGGTACTCCAATACATCAACCTTCTACGATAATCACAGTGAGGTCACAACACGGTTTACAGGTCAAAGGAAACATGGCAACTGGCACTACAATACATCAACCGTCTACAATACTCACAGCGAGGTCACAACACGGTAAACAGGTCAAAGGAAACATGGCAAATGGTACTCCAATACATCAACCGTCTACGATAATCACAGCGAGGTCACAACACAGTTAACAGGTCAAAGGAAACATGGCAACTGGAACTCCAATACATCAACTGTCTACAATAATCACAGCGAGGTCACAACACGGTTAACAAATAATCACAGTGAGGTCACAACACAGTTAACAGGTAAAAGGAAACATGGCAACTGGTACTCCAATACATCAAACGTCTACAATAATCACAGCGAGGTCACAACACCGTTAACAGGTCAAAGGAAATATGCCAACTGGTACTCCAATACATCAACCGTCCACAATAATCACAGTGAGGTCACAACATGGTTAACAGGTCAAAGGAAACATGGCAACTGGAACTCCAATACATCAACCGTCTACAATAATCACAGCGAGGTCACAACACAGTTAACAGGTCAAAGGAAATATGCCAACTGGTACTCCAATACATCAACCGTCTACAATAATCACAGTGAGGTCACAACATGGTTAACAGGTCAAAGGAAACATGGCAACTGGTACTCCAATACATCAACCGTCTACAGTAATCACAGCGAGGTCACAACACGGTTAACAGGTCAAGGGAAACATACCAACTAGAACATCGGCATATCAAAGGAACAACACTGTCTCAAGGAAATGCTGACTGGTATTTCATGTCAAATGTCCACGATGAAAGATCTAAGCTATGTCACAACACCAGGGTTTCCTCCAGAAGGGCGGATTGTGTACATCCCCCTGTACATTTCTATATTCTGCTTATATCACGCAACCAAATTCCCAAATTTTCTCAAACATGGATAAAACATTGCAACACTGTCCTAAGGAAGCATAGCAGGTTGTGTTCCAGAATATGAAATGTCTGCAGAAAATGTAAAGCAAGACCACAACACTATCCCTAACAAAGCTGGTCATCTGAAAGCCTTTTAGATTCACCTCTTTAACCACTCAAATTAATTTTTTTAACATGGTTGCTAGGTTTTCAAGTAACTAATCAAGATATCGTGTTTATATATTCCACAACCACATTAGCTGGAAATTCTTTTGAATGAGAAATAAAATGCCCACCATGTGAAAATAAAAGAAGACAAGTCATGTATTTGCATTACCTCATTTACAACAGGAGCAGACTGGACAGTTGTTTTCAAGGCAGCCTTGACCTCCTCAGACCGTGCACAGTCCATGGGTGTGTAACCATAAAGATTCCTAAAGCAAGTTATAAATAGGTATCAAGGTATTAGATCAAAGCATCCTCATTAAATAGGAAGATTTATCAAAACATCTTCACTGAGCTAGGCATGTTTCCTGAGAAAGTTTCATAGAAATAAAAATCTTCAAAAGATTTCATTAATATCCACAAACAAATATGACTCCAGCTTCCGCATTATATGTGCCAGATTACGCCAAACAATGAGTTTGAGTTAGTATTGCAGTAATACATAAAACCATCCATAAACTAAAACGAGGTTGACATGGCAACTCCTGAAAAAGCAGGATTAGGAAATGAAATGGAATATGACAATCATACCATACAAACACAAATTGTGAGAATCACAAATGACTAACTTTTATACAATTAGGTTAAGGCCGAGACGATGAAATGTATTTTTAAATTAGGAAACCACCCATTTGATGCGATTTCTGGTTCTTCAATGTACATCTCTGCTTTTTTATTTTATGTGCAGAGCCCTCATAAATAGAACAAATAATTCAGTCAATGAGTATACAAGTTTTGGAACTATTTTTACCTTGCAGTGAGAGAGGCCCCTCTGGACACCAGTAGCTCCACACATGCCACTCTACTGTGGGAGACTGCGTCATGAAGGGGTGTGGCATTCTCTGTCCCAGGAACATCTATCAGAGCTCCATGGTCCAGCAAAAGACGAGCAATGTCTACATAACCATGGTGGCAGGCTTCGTGCTGAAACAATGGAAATATTACCTATCATTGTATATTTACAGGCTTCGTGCTGTAACAATGAAAGTATTACCTATCACTGTATATTTACAGGCTTCGTGCTGTAACAATGGAAGTATTACCTATCACTGTATATTTACAGGCTTCTTGCTGTAACAATGGAAGTATTCCCTATCACTGTATATTTACAGGCTTCGTGCTGTAACAATGGAAGTATTACCTATCACTGTATATTTACAGGTTTCGTGCTGTAACAATGGAAGTATTACCTATCACTGTATATATACAGGCTTCTTGCTGTAACAATGGAAGTATTACCTATCACTGTATATTTACAGGCTTTGTGCTGAAACAATGGAAATATTACCCATCACTGTATATTTACAGGCTTCGTGCTGAAACAATGGAAGTATTACCTATCACTGTATATTTACAGGATTTGTGCTGAAACAATGGAAATATTACCCATCACTGTATATTTACAGGCTTCGTGCTGTAACAATGGAAGTATTACCTATCAATGTATATTTACAGGCTTCGTGCTGAAACAATGGAAGTATTCCCTATCACTGTATATTTACAGGCTTCGTGCTGTAACAATTGAAGCATTACCTATCACTCTATATTTACAAAGTTTTACAATTTGGTTTTTTTATTCTACTTTATAAATCTCTTAGCTTTTTTTCATAAATAGAAGGTATTCTTTCTTGGACTAAAAATAACAGAAAAGTTCACATGAGCTATTTGTTTCACCTACTTTATATGCATACCCAAGGGATCCGCATGGGCTGTTTATTTTACCTCCCTATATATACAGGATTGGTCTGCATACGCTGTGTGTTTTACCTCCCTATATATGTATGCCCCCTGTAAAAAGGCACATGCAGGTGTCTGCATAAGCTGTTTGTTTTACCTCCCTATACATACCAGAGGGGTCCATCCTGCATTGTCCCTGGTATTAGGTGTAGCTCCTCCTTTCAGCAGCTCCTCAACTTTCACCAAGTCACCCTAATTACAAAGCTCAATTTTTTTAATGCATAAATGTTATGCCAGAAATTTTGTTTTGCAGACATTTGACAGGAATAAGGATGAAGGACAGTTTCATTGAACTACTGATAAACATATTTATTAGTTAAACCCAGGGCAAAAGTATTGTTTCTTCAACAACCAATTACAGCCTGTACATGGAGACTTTCAATGAGAGCAGTGGTGAGTTACATTCTCTGAAAATGTTCCATTATGATGTTACAATTTCATGTTATTGATAGTAAAATGCGCTTTTGCTTTGACGCCAATTTTGATGCAGAGCTGAGAAAAAAAAGATGTTTTCAATAAATTTCAGTATAAGATCAAGTCTTTTTAGGGGTCTCCATGCAATAGACTTGTAATTCAATGTCACTGATAACCAACTTTAGAAATGTATCTATCATTGGACTATAATTGGTTTAGAGCCATCATCTACTGGCCTTTTATATTAATGTTCTATATCGGGTCATTACTGCATTAGAGCTGGAGGGCAGTGCCCATACCACCACTTACACCGAAACGACTAGCTATATTCTATAAATGCTCATTTGAAAGTGATAACATTGTTAGATAGCATCATTGGTAAAGTATTGATTGGCTGTAGATACTGTAGGTATCAGGTTCTAACCCTGTAACTTTTGTTCTCTTTTTTATCTTTTCAAATACTCAAAATATAATCAACGATGTATAACTCTATAAAGTGTTTGCAAGATGTAATTAATTTATAGAAAAATCCTGTAGAAAATAATAAATACTCCATACTAGTGACAGAGTTCCCATTAATGGTACATTTTAACCCGATGGTACTCTTTACCAGATAGTATGACAACAAATACACCCTTGCCCCGTATATACCTTACTCTCTATTAGGGCTGTCACAATATATCGGAGAACAGGTATATCGCAATACACAGGTATATCATATTGTACCACAATACTGAGATGAAATGTTGCTGCATCACAATATTTTTTTAAAAGCTTCTTTTTATGTATCTCATTCTGCTTGGTGTTTTAACTTTGCAAATTACTACAAATTCTAACAAATATGCCAATAAGCATAAAACAGGCTTTTGATAGTGGTGGGAATAAGTTCAAATTTTGTAATCGATGGTTGGTTTGACAAAAATCTTAAATCTATGTGATCCATTATATTATATATGATTAAGTTTGATAACATTCTGACAACTTATAAAATCAAGCACGTTTTCCTATGACAATATATCGTGATACACTCTGGGTGTATTGTGACACCCCTACTCTCTATGATTCTATTAGGGTCAGTAGCTGTCTATATAACAAGGTAGGTATTGAAGATATGCAATTCTTACCATTAAACCCTATATTCCAATATACATCTACATCTAATGATTAATTAAAGGTAATACTAAACTGGTGAACTGCTTTCAACCCTGGCCTCTTCCTCTAAGCCAAGCAAAAAGCGTTTTGTTTCTGGTGACCCTAACTATCCCCAATTTTTAGTACCTGCCCTATACTTTTAGTCAGTTTTCAAAGAAGCACTGTTAAGGTCACAATCACTCTCCATGTATAAAACAGATAAAAAGAAAGTGTATTACCTGCATCCTTACTCTAAAATTTTCAAACATATTACAGGAAGCAAATATCTTGTATGGCCTTGCTATGAATGAAGGAAAATCAAGGCGGTTTGGTGTCTTTATAAGAGTTGGTAATATTGTAGGAACAATTTAGCTAGTTACCTTTATACACCCAACCTGTAGGGGTGTTTCCCCCTTTGCATTTCTTCTCTCCATCTCATTCACAACCTTCTTCCCTGATCCTGTTAGGGATGTGTTTAGTCCCGTCAACTTTGACCTCGAGCTCCCTCCAGACCTTGTAGCTGGAGAGGACGAGATAATAGCTGTAGATCGCCTACTTCCTGCAGCAGGAGACAAACTTCTACGTGATCTCTTTTTTCCTGAAGCTGCTACAATAGTAGATCTTTCAGCTGTGACAATGCCAATAGAATGTCTTTTATTCGTCCCTTTCTTCTGTTGTCTATTTTCCTTCATTTGTATTTGATTACTCTCTATGTCTGAGTTATCCAACATCCTTAATCTTAAATTTCTTGTATTTTTTGCAATCAAACTCTTCCTACGTTGGGTTTTCGATTTATTGGCTGAGGTTGGTGTAGATCTAGTTATACCTTCAGGTGTCTCAACAAAAGGCTGTGGACTTTTCTGTTTCAATATTTTAGAAGGCCCAGGAGATTTTGAAAAATCTGCCCTTGGTCTGACCGACCTGGGGCTGTCTTTGAGGATACGAGTATCATTGTTGACAGTAGTACTACTTACTGGTACCTCATCACTGACCTTCCCATGTACCATTGTTTCTGGGACATTCATGTCCTCTGTAGTCATCTCAGCATCATCACCAAAGTGCTGTGTCATGGTGCTCTGATTGGCAGGAACAGAGTCTCGGTTACCTAGTTTTGGTGCTGGACTACACGAGGGGCCAGGTTTCCTACCACCTTTTCCTGGGGTAGATCTGGCAGACTGTTGCTTACTAGGGGTAGATCTGGCAGACTGTTGCTTACTAGGGGTAGATCTGGCAGACTGTTGTTTGGTAGGGGTAGATCTGCGATACTGTTGTTTGGTAAGATTTGAGTTTATCCCTGTCTCAGTAGAGAAACCTTTGTGGTCACCTGTTGGTATCATTGGTGTCATGACTGTCATCTTGTCACCTGTTTAAATAGGAAAATTCATATACAAAAGCTCACCAGAAAAGTTCACAAACGCCCAAATTATATTCCTGCATAAACACGGCACAGTATAGAAAATATCTATCCAATTATTTGATTTACATTATGCTAAGTTCAGCCAGAAGTTGATTGTAGCAGTGATTTTTTAACCTAAATTTTACAAATGACTTTTCCCTCAAGAATTGGGAAAATGTAGCATTATTTTGATTAAAATTGGGAAGATATTCTGGATATTTTTTTTTAATTTGGGAAAATACAGCACATTTTAGCCAAGGGAAGCAGTTTGTATTCATTCCTTAGTGATGTTAGGAATATTGTAAGTTTTTTGCCTTCTGTACTGGATAAATAACCTGTTTATTTTAACCTTGGGTTTTAAACTACAATATACTGCACACCAGGGATTTTATTACTGGCATTTCTGATAGATAAATGCAGTGAAATGTTTAAGACCTCAAAATTTATCTTCACTGATTTATCAATTCACAACAACTCAAAATAAATATCAGAAATATAACATCTAAAATTAAAGATTGGAAACATGACATCTAAAACTTAACATCAGAAGCTTGACATCCTAAGTTAGACAACATTCCATCTTCAACAAGGAAAACATTGATAAACAACTTTCAGCAAAATTGAAAAAATAAATAAAAAATAATTAAAGCATGGGACCTAATTCAAAGATTATATTACCTGAAGCATTGGACTGGCCACTGTCCACCTCTGGATTGGTCAGTATCTTCTCCAGTCTCTGACACAGAGTAACCAGGGTGAACAGCTGACGATCAACCTGTGCATCCCGTACATCTGCCGGAATGTGGCAGACTGGACAGCTCTTCCCCAAAACACCTTCACAACAGTCTCTGAAATCAAGGCGTTCTTATTTAATATATAGATTGATAATGATTACAAATTTTAATTATCACTTGATTTGATTTGAAACTAATTTTGGGGTGTTTGAGAGTTCTCTCCCTTTAAGGTAACAGTAAAATCAATGATGTGGCACATTTAGAATTAATCTACACCCATGGCATGTCTATAGCTTTATCCCAAACTAATGGCATGTGTATTCAAGCAATCAAATGTCACATGATCTCAGGCACACAATCTGAAAAGTTGTATTACAACCAAGGAACACTAGGAATTAATGGCCTGCCCAATGAGTTTGGATATGCAAATGCTATGTACTGTGTTGTGATCAAAAGATCAAGTTAGATATCAAATTACCAACATTATCTAAGAGACAATTTTTATCAAAAGATACTAGTACATGTCTTTATTCCAAAATGAAAACTCTCCATCACTAATACAGTTCCAGTTACCTGCAGTATACATGTTCACAACTGCCGAGTGTGCAAGGACTGCTGGCGATCCCATCGCTGAAACATTCAAAACAATTATTGTTAGCTAATGTATAAAGTGGATGTGAGTTAAATATACCATTTACTAGATGTTTACACAATATTTAATATATAGAGTCGAGCTAAATATGGTGCTTAATTTCAGAAGAATGCATTGTCAACAAAATGTTTTAAGTGATCCATAGATTATATGGATCGTGCAGATTCAAGATATTTGAAAAACATTGGATAATCATCTGATATGAAATTTTAACTAATTCCAAACACTGGTAACGGTCTTTATTACATACTTACTAATAAATACGTTTTTTTTGTATATGCGATACGACACAATTGCTCTTACCCATATCAGCCCTCGCCGTATCACACCCCAAAAGCTGTATCAGCCCCCGCCATATCACAACCCAAAACCTGTATCAGCCCGCAAAACCTGTATCACACCCCTTTTAAAAATGATTCGTTTTCAATATTTCAAAAGAAAAATAGATCATAAGATAGTAGCTTTTATAAGTATGTAATAAACAGAATAAAACATGCCTTTTTCCATATTCGGCCCTTGGGCTGATATTGCAGTCTCGGGTTGATACTGGGTGTGATATGGAAAAAGACATGTATTATTCTCTATATATTAATGGTTTTGATTAATATCTACATCCCATGTTAGAAGGTGTGTAATAGTCGGATAGAAAGTGTATAATCTGCAGAGTTACAGGTACATGTATTGGGATGAGATGAAATATTGCTGTGGATATTTCAATATCAGTGAATATACTGTTTTTAGAACCACTAGTCCAGCTGGAGATTTCACTAGTCTATCGATAGCACTAACCCTTATTTACTGTCGCACCCTTCGTAAAGGTATGATACATAACACATTTACATCAACTTAAATTGCTTTTAACATAATTTTAATTGCTATAACACTGGCCCAATAATATTGTATGTAAATTAGCTAAACAAAACACAGCTTCATGAAGCCTACATTTGTATGTCGAAATAATTATATAGACATGCTTGAGACAAAGTTCATCAGGATTATTTTTGTTTGTTTAGGGTGTGAATTTTCATGGGACTGAAATGATATACCATGACAAGTCCTTCAAGTTACCTTCAATTTCTGACTTTCCATGAACTCCATCAGTTTCAATAAGTCATGATTTTTATAAGGATAAGTGAGGTTGGGCACAGGAACTGAATGACTATAGTTGCCATTTAACCTTCCTAATATATAAAGTAAACTTTACCTACAAATGTGTATATACTTTCATTTTAATCACCTGTTTCTTATAATACACACTAAGCAATAAGCATTGGTGGATTAGCAAGTCATCCGACTCAAGTTCCATCTTGCATTTTGATCAGTCAAAATGTCTAATTGTGTCCAGATAAAATTTAGTCTACAATATTAATGGAGTTGCTGTATGACTTCAAGCTCATAAACATTTGTGAGCAGATGATAAAGGAGGGAGATGCCTCGAGACAGGACAGCGCATCACATCACATTATCCAAATTTATCTTACTTACCCCTGATACCGAGTATATGGATCAAGCTTGATTAGGGAAGGGGTAGTTAAGACAGGCACATTTTGATACAGAGCAAATTAGAGGGACCAATCTGATGTAGCTTTTGGGTGTGTCAAGTGACAAATTTAACCAGACGAAAAGGAACCTATGGAGTCGGCATAAAGGAGACCCGACACATCTGGGCCTGGCCAGATTTGAGGGACAATGCATGGGGAAATTCAGAACAAAGGCATGTCTTAGACAGGTCATACACATTTCTAAAGGGTAATGACCAACTTCAACAAGTTGAAGCTAATGTCATTAGGGAGAAAGAGATTTAGTCGATTCCAAGAAGCTTAAATGATATATACATGTGTATATAGATTTAACTTTGAGGGTACAGTGACAGGAGAGCAGATTTAAAAGATTCAGTAGTAATACAGGAGGATATGATTTCTGGTGGGATCTTATTCCACTCAGATATTGATCGTGGAAAGAAGGATTGTTTTCTGACCTGGGTTCTGCAGTGTGGTATTTGGAAGGATTGGTGATGGGCATGACTTGATTGCCTGGTTGCTGGTATAGTGTTTACTAATATCTATACCCGATTGTTCACAATTCTTGTGTCTCTGCGTCTGTCGGCAAGGGATCGCCATTTAAGATGGTTCAACATATTGGAGACACTGGATGTTCTATGAGTGTAGACGTTTTTGTTTAGTACGTAACATTACGAGTAGCCCTGCGTTGTACCTTTCGTACACATGTACTTTAACAATATTCAAAATTCATGAAAAACAAAAGCTAAAAGACAAGTAAAAGAAAATGTACCATATGGAACATTTGAGGAGCGCCTGTAGATTAGACAAAGCTGATCGTGTGTACAGGAACTGAACGGCCATTTCTTGTTTACATTTAGGTCGACAACAAGCGTTTTCAGTTTCCCGCCAATAAACAACTCCGGAAATAGCTTTCATATTACCCATGAACCTTCACCCATCATGGAAGCAAGGAAGAGGATGGAGGATGTAGGCTGAAGATGTAAGCGTTATATTAACTCATTTTGCAAGGTTTAAGTCTTAGTATTAAGACTGGAGCGTGCTTTGATAAAATAAGGACAGGCTTGTTCATGCTATGACCCAATCCTTTAAATTCAATAGCTATGGTAGGCGACATAATGTTGCGTATTTCCGCAGAATTACCACGGGGTGAAGATTTCGATAGTTATTTGACAACCAATCATACTCATGACAAATCAATTAGGATATTTCTTACTAATGGTCGATTTGAAATCTAGTTGACAAGCTCAAATACCTTTTATTAGTATGTGTCACGGTCTGTTTAAAATGCATGAAACTTTAATAATATTAAACCGCACCAAATTCAAGGCATCGATATATAAAATGTCTGATTCATTGATTTGTAATGGAACTAAGTCATGGAAAGGGTTCGTACGGTGCCTTCGTTGAGGATCCAACCAGCGACCTCAGATGTTCTAATCCAACAATAAGCTACTAAACAAAGAGGAAATTCCATTGCCAAAAACGAATCCTAGACGTTTCGGTACCCTATGCTTTCACAGTCGGAAATAACTGACAAGTAGTAGCTGCGATAGCTTAGCTTCTGTGACGAGATATTTGTTTATATATTGCGTTGTCAGAGCTACGAAGCGATCCTTTGCCAACTAATGGAGCAAAATCAAAAGATAATAAGAGCAGTTTTGGATACTTATTTAACCCTTTTATAGATATATGTGAGGCATGTGTTTAGACTTGTGTTGTCAGCACCTCAAAACTTAGCACTTCCAAAAGGTGTTGGAGAATTCCAAGTTTTTGTATTAAGTAGTGCGCTCCGGTCCCACCACAGAAATCTATTGGTGAAAATGTCTAAGTCTGTTACTCTGGTAACAGGGCCAAGGAAACTCAGCCTATGTATTCTCCATGGTGCTGCACCACCAGCAATTTGCCCTTTGGGCAGGCCCCTGCTCAATTATATCCTATTTTGAAAGTCATTTTTTTTCTCCAGAAATGTTGAATATAACATCCTGTATAGCAAGACTGATTGTAAGTCAGCATAATGCAGTGCTGAACACACGTCTTATTGTTGATGTTATACATCATAATGTGACTGAAAGATGCAACCCAGGGCTCATAGCTGTCAACCCAGTGCTAAACTATTTCTTGGGAGGTCCCCAAGTCTTCTACATGTATGATAGAACCAAAATTTAATGTTAGAATGGAATCCACATTCTCAACTTTAGTCTTGATGTTAGCTGTACATAGGCTAGTGTTCAAAATTCATGTCAACCCTATGTATATACATATATCCAAATTAATCTTCACATATTTTAAAAACTTTAACATGTCACACTGAGATTTCAGTTTCAATAAAACAATATCATGAAAACCCAACTGAAAGTATTACACCTATTTGGAAAATACATCAAAAATATGAATGAAATATGAAATTTCTAATTTCAGTGCTGCAGTCTCTTCATGGGAGCTGAGCAATAAGACATGATGGGTTGATAAGTAAGCGTTCCTTTTGATAACCAAGCTTTGTGTAATGATGGCACCACAAGAATATAAACTGTAAGCGAACAACATTTATCAGTAGTTCAAGTTGAATTTGCTTCAAAATGGCTGAAGCAATACCAAGATGTCCTGCTGATTTTTCTGCAGCAGATGATTTATCACTGCCTACACCTTCCTCCCCACTGATGGCACATATGAACCCACTACATATCCGAGAGAGAAGCAACAGTGAGTCAGACATTGCTACACTTAGTCCACAAAACCTGTCGTGTCTGGAAGTGGACCGCAGCTTTGTGGACCTGTCAAGTGACAGCACCATCAGAGTTCAATGGGACATCAAAGAAGATGTGGGCTCCAACGACCTAATTGGTCTTTATCCTTCAGGTAAAATATTGCACAGCATTATATAAATTCATTACACCCAAACAAGGTACTAAGAGATCTCATTATAAATTTCAGTCTTATGAAGAAATGTATCATTTAGATATGTTATAAATTTTTAGGTCACCTTAGCCTTAGCCATATTTCAACAACAATAATAAATACCGCAGGACTCAGGTGACCGTTAAGGCCCATGAGCCTCTTGTTAGATTTATTGGATGTATTTACCCATTTAAAATTATTTAGCAAATCCCTGTGCATGTGTGATCCTTATGCTGGTTCATTGATGTATTTTTAGGACCATTTTGGATTTTTAATTATTCTTAATAAAATATAGCTTGTATCAAGATCATAATGCAACATGAGTCTAAAATGTAATAATATGTAGTAAACAAGAGTGTTTTTGTCTTTTAGAAGATTACTTTGATCATTCTAAAAGCTTGTTATTTGGATAAATTCAACACAATTTTCACTATTCTAAAATGCTAACCACATACCCCTTTCTCATATTATTGAAAAGTTAAGAGAGGGATCGCCTTGATTTATAAACTTAACCGAATGAAAATTGTTGCAGTCTGCTATTCCTGAAATGGATTTCGATGATACAAACCACTCATTTGATCCTATGTGTGAAAATGTCATTTTTCAATAGTTTTTAAAAGAATTGCACTCATTTGAGCTGTTTTTAATTTTTCAGGTGAGACCGACTCCTCCAAGTTTTTGGACAGTAAGAATCGTGGTGTGAATGGTGGACAAACAGGTCAGATTCTGTGGGACCTGACTGAGGTCACGCATCATTTTACAGACGGTAGGTAGCACAAGGCTTTGTACTCCTGTAGGTACATGTACATGTAGTCCAATATTTAGAACTTTATCCTTTGCAGGTAATGAACAAAGACTTAATCTTGTAGTTGTCAATCAAAGGCTGAGGTAGTCTGTGTAAGGCCTAGTCTTATATGTGGAGCCATTTTCATGGCTTATTCCTCTAGTAATGTTGCTCTAACTGAACTGCTTTAACCTCAGTTTATTGATGTGGTTGAATGATACGTATTATTATCATTGAAGAAAGGTGTAGTATGTTTATGATATTTATGTAGTTTTATATGAAGACCTGTAACTTTTATGTTGTTCAACAGATTGTTACATTTGGAGATTACATTTGGAGAATATCAGACTTTCAGTTACCAGAACCTGACCAATCGAGTCTTAGACATTTGATAATAAAGTACGACTCTACAGATGATTGATTGAACATTGTACATGAATGAACTGAAGTAGCATAAATGTGTATATTTTTGTTACAGTGGAATCCCGTATAACATTCAAGTATTTCCTGGGAACAACCGGAGAGTTGGTTGCCACAAGTCAGTCGGTGTGTGTAAAGAATCCAATGGTCACCTCACAAGTAAGTCTGAATTACACATTTTACTGTATATCAGTGATCTTTTTAGGGTAAATTTAATTTGGGTATAAAGGCCCTTCCCCTGGATATTCCCAAAATCAATGCAAGAAACGTTTAATTTCCAAAAAAATCATCCTTTTTGTCACAGCCCCCTGTGGAAAGGAGGTAGAAAAATCACTATTTAACTACCCAGACTGAACAACTCTCCAGACTAATGAATACTACTTCCCAGACTCATGTGGTGGAAAGGACAATTAACCTCAATCTAAAATTTGAAAATAATCTCAAAATATCTCCATCCAAATTTAAGTATAAACACTAGTACAGTGCTTCATCTGTCCTTTCACAGTGAGTTATTTGTTATCAAGTTCTGAAAAGCAGTGAGTCATTCTATATAAGATTAATGAATTAAAGAGATAAAGAATTGACTCCTGATTCAGTCACAGCTAATTAAAACACTGCTGTTTCCCAGACTGATGTATACCACCATCCAAACTGATGTATACAAATTCCCAGACAGATGTATTTCAATGATTCTGGCTAATTTGATTGTTTAATTCAAATCAATTTAAACTCAGAGGCAAGGCTTTGTGTACCTCATGTTGTGCTTTCTGTTCACTGTCAATATACTTAAATGATTCTTTATAAATGAGGACTGGTGCCAAATTTTGAAGGGCAAGTGCCAATATTTCAACTCAATTTTGTGTCACCTGCACAGGAAACATAGGGATCACTTTATTGGTGGTCATATGTCACTTCGCAGTCAACATATACTGAATAACGGCAAACTTCGTTCTCGTCAAATATTTGCCATTTGCCAATACAATCCATGTTTGTATAATATTAATTTCCTCCTTCATATGTAATTGCTAATTGTTATATGTTGTATAGTAATATTTGCTCTCATTATATATCTGGATGACGAAAAAGACAATTTGTGGTGAAAATTTCTGAGTATACATTACATAATTGTTCAAATTGACAAAACATGCCTGATATACTTAAACTCCAACACGATCACTTTACTTTGATGCTTGGCCAAATTCATGCATAATTATTGAGGCTGCTGCAATCTGATTGGATGCTGGTTACTCAAAAGCATTTCTAGATACTATTTTGTGAAGGAATTTTTATGAATTTTTACCCCTCGAATATTCTTTCTACCAAAGTCACCGTTTTGATGTTCTGCTGAAAATGAGACTGCCACTAAGGCAACCAAAAAAAGGCAGAAAGTATCTCTAGGCCTTGGTAATTACCATTCCCCACCTCTGAAACAAGAAAAATCAGTTCATCTATTTTACAAGATTTATTCCTTAATTTTGGACAAAAGTACAGATGTATTTTGTTCTGGAAGACAGTATTATTTAGCTCACCTGTCCCAAAGTGCCATGTGAGCTAAGGCCATGCCATGGTCTGTGGAGTGGATTTTGATTAAATGTTTTAGCAAGTTTTGTTAAAACAAAGGGTACCCCCCCACCCGTTGCAGACAGAGAGATGGGGCCTGATAAGAAAAAAAGGGTTTTCTTTCAATATCCTCTCACTTTTGTAGAAACAGATTGTGTCCAAATCTGCTTCAAACATCTTTCGTTCAAAGGGGACTCAATGCTGTATAAGTAAACGTTATGATCTCCAATAAGGTAGACGGGCAGAGCCCTATAGAGGAAATAGAGATTTATCCACCAGAACTCGTTCCTTCCATACCGATGAGAGGATTTTACCAAAATTTACTCTGGAGCAATTCTTGAGCCAAGGAGACTGATCAATCGTATATAAACAAAAGTGTGGACCCCAGTGGCAGAGGGGCTGCCTGATTTGGTAGATCTTTCAAATCCCCCGACCTCTCTGTTTTATGGATAAAGGTATTTTTACTCTTCCTTTGGAGCATTATTGGCCCGAGGAGACTCAATGTAATGTAACGGGGACAGTCTAATAAGGAAAATAAAGTCAATCTTTGAATTCCTCTTCACGTGGGTGTGAAGAAGTTAGTATTCAGATTTGCAATGGTGCATTTGGGCCATGGAAACTTAATATGAAAAGGATCGGAAAACTTCCATAGGGCAAAATAAGATGGTTTTATTAGCTCGCCTGGCCCGACAAGCCATGTGAGCCTATGGCGTACTGCAGCGTCCGTCCGTCAACTTTTCTCTTTGAACGACTTTTTCTGAGGAACTGAAGGACATAAGGTCATGATATTCGGCCAGTAGCTAGGAATGCAGTGCTATTAAGTTTCCTCATTAAAATGACCTTAACCTAGTAGTTTCAAGGTCACAGGGGCCAAATATGTTAAAAACTTCAACCAACAATATCCTCAGAACCATTTGGACTAGAGTCCTGATACTTGGGTATATTATGTAAACCAGCAGTGCAAATATTTTTCTTAATAACAGTAATGAGGTCAAAGGTCAACTTTAAGTGCTAGTCTTGGGGGTCAACCGTCAACGCAGGTTAAAAACTTTAACAGTCTTCTTCGTAAGTTCCATTAGGCCCAGGGTCATGCTATTTGACCAGTAGGTACATGGGATGGAGTGGTATAAAGTTTCTTCATTAAAATGACCTTGACCTAGTTTCAAGGTCACAGGGGTCAAATATGTTAAAAACTTCAAAAAACAATATCCTAAGAAGCATTTAGACTGGAGTAATGATTACTTGTGTATGTTATGTAGACCAGCTGTGAATCGTTTTCCTTACTACAGTAATGAGGTCAAATGTCAACTTTAAGTGCTAGCCAGGGTCAAAAGGTCGACTTGGATTAAAAGCTTTAAAATTAAAACTTGAAATTTCAAGCAACAATATCTTCAGAACTGTTTAAGAGATGTTAACATGTCTTGTGTTCTAGTTACCAAATTTGGTCTGAAGTTACCTACATGTATGTAACAAAAGAAACAGGTGAGCGATACAGGCCCTCTGGGCCTCTTGTTTTCAAAGTCATATTCCTTTTGAACAGCTACGCAATTTCTTTCCATATTTAGTCTGAAACACTGTTGGCCAAAGTGATCATATTTTGTGTAAATGAAGATTGTGCAACCATTGTGGTTAGGGGACCAGAGGGATGGGGTCTTAATGTAGGGATTTTTTTCTTCAAAACCTTCCTCCTCCTGAAGAACTGTCTGAATTGTAACCATATTTGGTTAGAAATATCACTAGAGCAAGATGATAATAAAGAATAAAGATACTGCAGCCCCTGGGGCTGGAGAGATGGTGTCTCAATAGAGGATCTTTTTGATGTAAAGCTGTACTCCTTGAAATTTATTAAAATACTCACCATTTAACAACATACACATGTAGCGGACAAAAAAAGACGTATACATCCATGCAAGCAAACAGGATTGTCCCAAAGGGTCCTGCCCTGCCCCCAGGGACTTCATCCCTGAGTCAAAACATGAAAAGTGTTCCCAACCTAAAACCATATGTATAGCTGCTAGACTCGACGTAGGAACAAATACATTTATGCTAACAGGATGGGCACCAGGGGCTGCCCTGGGATTTGGTTCCAGGGTTTTGATATGTAAACAGTTGAGATTCTCACCTATAGCTTTATATACAATTGCTATACATGATGAGTCATGCTACAAGGGTTGACCTCAAGGTCCAGTCTGGCCCTGTTGATTATGTTCCTGAATCAAAACTGTGGCGGACCAATTCATTTTATTAACTGAAATTAAAATTGGATCAATCAGAAACAGTCTAGTAACAATTCATCATACATTATCACATTTTATTAGCATTTTTTCCAGCATCAATTTCAAAAGTTGTATTTTTCATTATTTACCAGAATCATGTTGACACTTCACATATTACTCCTGTGTAAACCCATATTTTGTTCAAAATGGAAGATGAGAAATTTTATAGAGATTAAACAGATAAAAAATAGTCCTAAAAACAAGAAAAACCTCGACATGAATTCTACTGCATTCAGCATTATTATAGTTAAAGGCATATTCAAATAAGGATCTGCCAATGTATATGCTCAACAAAACATGTGACTGAAATTGTCTCCATTGCTTCCACCATGATATATAGGCCTGATAGGTTGTCAAATTGAGACAGAAACATGAAAGTGGGTCGCTTTGACAGTTAAGTTTATTTTAGAACTTAACATGTCTGCGTTTTGGAATTACATTAACCAGTAGCTTAGCAGATGCTTATTTCACGTTTTTTGTGTCATTTCTGAATTTATCTGTTATTGCTGCTTGTTACAAAAAAAAAGTTAGTGTTGATCAAATGATTCTTTCAATTCTTGATTTAGCAAGCAGAATTGCAGGTTTTCTATGTTTATCTCTGCATACTTATAAGAGCCACCTATGTAAATCCCATTTAATTTCCACCACAAGCCAAGTTTAGAAACAGTTAAGATCTCCTCCCAAAACCATTTGTATCAAGGCTAGTCATTAATGCACTCACGCTGTCAGGATTGGTCGTTAGGTCTTGTCCCACCCCTGAGTATCTTGTCCCACCCCTGAGTATCTTGTCCAACCCCTGAGTATATTGTCCCACCCCCGAGTATCTTGTCCCACCCCTGAGTATCTTGTCCCACCCCTGAGTATATTGTCCCACCCCTGAGTATCTTGTCCCACCCCAGGGTATCTTGTCCCCACCGGAGTATCTTGTCCCACCCC